TATGTGTCGAAAAATCGACACATAATACACTTTGTTAGTGTTTTGTGTCGATTTTTCGACTCACAAACACTGTTTACGGCAAAGGCTCTATGACTGACAAAATCTGATTGAACTGGATCGAGTTAGGTATCGTTTTATTTGGCAGATTCTAAGCTTTCTCCCGAGGTCTGTCTCTAAGCGCTTTTTTTTCTCGAGGTGATCATAATTGTAGCAGACAGCTGACGTGCATATTTGTAAACAGCTTGGTTAACCTCGCACTGATGACTGATGTGTTTTATTACCTTTATCATTGTTTTAGTACTTATTAAAAATCAAAAGTAGTGATATACGTGGTGCATTATAAGAAGATTTAAGTGATTTTGAAGGGCTGGTTGATGATCCTGAAGAAGTAGGTAGTGATATTGATGTAAATTATCAGCCAGATTCCTAGCTATGGTTAGGCTACTTATGCATTCTTAGCTAAACGCTATGTACTGAAATCTGTTTTTTGCCCATAACTTATTTATATGCAAATCTACTTCCTTATATTATTATATATTTGTAATCCTCATAAAATTTAGAACAAAGTGGCTATTTTCAAATATTTATAGGCCTATAATTTATACAATTTCGTTGAGCGCAAACTTATATTTTTGTTGAAAATTTTCCAAAATATTTTTTTTTACCTAAAAATTTTTTTTGAAACAAATGTTTCTTATGTTTTATGTATAATATTGAAGCCCATGATTTTCCAAACAAAATGGTACATAGAACAGTATAATTAACATTGTTTTTAAGCTTCTCAGATCCGTTTTAATAAAACCTTGTGCAAATGCGCAAAAAATAGGCAAACATTAAGGCCAAAACTAGGGACACTCGGAGGGTTAACCTGAATTCCCTCTGTATTCCCCGTAAAATCCCGGTTTCAATAATGAGATGAAACTGTTGTAAACTAACCAAACCAACCAAACTTGCTGTATGAGTTCATGAGAAAAAAATAATTGTTGATTATTAAATGAAACTGTTCTAAACTAACCAAACCAACCAAACTTGCTGTATGAGTTCATGAGGAAAAAATAATTTTTGATTATGAAATGAAACTGTTCTAAACTAACCAAACCAACCAAACTTGCTGTGTATGATTTCAAGAGGAAATAATAATGGTTCATTATGAAATTAAACTGATCTAAACTAATCAAACCAACCAATCTTGCTGTATGATTTCATGAGAAAAAAATAATTCTTGATTTTTAAATGAAACTGTTTTAAACTAACCAAACCAACCAAACTTGCTGTATGATTTCACGAGGAAAAAATAATGGTTCATTATGAAATCAACCTGTTCTAAGCTAACCAAGCCAACCAAACTTGCTGTATGATTTCATAAATCGGTTTTATAAGAGAACTCGTTACCCAGATACAACAAAACAGTAAAGTACAAACCATGAAGCTAAATAACAAATAAATAACCCTATTAATAAATCAGATTTTGTAGACACCAGCGCCAGTGTCACCAACATGAATAACTGTAAACACAATAAACGAGTAACAACTTGTGTTGGTTAGTTCCATAGATATGTTTATTTATTTATTAACCCTCCGAGTGTTATTTGTCGCTGCAGCGACCCACAAACACTGTTTACGGCGAAGGCTCTATGACTGACAAAATCGGATTGAACTGGATCGAGTAAGGTATCGTTTTATTTGACAGATTCAGAGCTTTCTCCGGAGGTATGTCTCTTAGCGCTATTCATTTTAGTTCCAAAAATATTGTAGCAGACAGCTGACTTGCGTATTTGTAAACAGCTTGGTTATCCTCGGACCGATGACTGATGTGTTTTATTACGTTTATCATTGTTTTAGTGTTAAAAATAAAAAGTAGTGATATACGTGGTGCATTATAAGAAGATTTAAGTGATTTTGAAGGGCTGGTTGATGATCCTGAAGAAGTAGGTAGGTAGCGATATTGATGTAAATTATCAGCCAGATTCCTAGCTATGGTTAGGCTATGCATTCTTAGCTAAACACTACCTATGTACTGAAATCTGTTTTTTGCCCATAACTTATTTATTTGCAAATCTACTTCCTTATATTATTATATATTTGTAATCCTAATAAAATTTAGAACAAAGTGGCTATTTTCAAATATTTATAGGCCTATAATTTATACAATTTCATTGGGCTCAAACTTATTTTTTTTTTAATTTTTCCAAAATATTTTTTTTTTACCTAAAAATTTTTTTTGAAACAAATGTTCCTTATGTTCTATGTATAATATTGAAGCCCATGATTTTCCAAACAAAATGGTATATAGAACAGTATAATTAACATTCACTCGCCTACGGCTCGTGAGTAAGTATTTCTCTCGAGTGTTTTCAAGCTTCTCAGATCCGTTTTAATAAAACCTTGCAAATTAGCAAAAAATAGGCAGACATTAAGGCCAAAACAAGGGACACTTGGAGGGTTAATTCCATACTCCTTGAGGAGTTTGTTTTCTCTATGTATTCGTAACATATGTCTGCAGAAATATCGATATATCGTTTCTAAGTACAGTGAAAATTGCCACCATATCAGTAGGCCAAGCATAAATTTAATATTCTAAAATATTTTTATTTTCAATATAAACAAACATGGAAATAGGCCTAGGTTATGATCTGTTTAAATATGTTTTATTGATGTTTTGAATGTAAAAATTCAGTTAAGATCGGTGTACGTTTTTAATGAACTTGAATGAAATAAAACTATCTATCTTCAAACAAAAGAAGACTGAAAACTTAACTTCACGTTTTTAGAAGTAGGCCTAACTTAAGGATAGGCTATTCATACAGGTGATAGATGTTACACCACTTTTTATTGACCTATTTTAATATTTTTAAAGCTATTTTTGACTAAATACATAGGATAAAATAAAGAAACAACTTTATTTTTACTTTGTTATTGTTTTTATTTATATCATATGGTACAATACAATTCTGATGGTCTTCCTGTATCTGCCGGCTCTGCTGGTCGTTGTCGGCGGCAAAGGAAAGTACCCATTTATACAGACTAATTTCCCATTCCTGCTGGGTAATTAGGCTACCTACCTATAAATAACCCTTTTACCTGTTGAATTACCCTTTTCTCCACATTATTAACCATGTTTTATCTCCCCCACCCAAAACCCCGAATTCCCACCGGCCCCCTAGTGTGTTGGGATTATTGTATATATATTTAACTAGTAAAAAAAGGAGGCCTCGGCGCCAAAAAATTCTTTTATAAAGTTGTGTAGGTAGTATTGATGTCCTAGAATACCATAGTTCAAAAGATTTTAGAAAGTTTAAGCTGGATTCTGGGTCCTAAATAAATACCAGATGTTTTTAAACTGTTCCTAGTCACCAGCACTACAACTTTCTCAAATGACTTTTTGGTCGCCGACAATTCCTGTAGACACCATGCCTAGATTACTAGACACCACCCCTGAAAAACTCGCTTAAACATCGTGACAGGGCAGTTTACTATACTATACACCCCATCAAGTTACTAGACACCACACCCAGATTACTAGACACAATTACCAAGATTAATAGACACCCTACCTAGATTACTAGACACCAAGCAAATCTTACTATACACCGTTACCTACATTACTAGACTCCACGCCCAGATTATGGTTAGGTTAGGTTAATCTAGGTAATGTTGTCTAGTAATCTAGGTAATGGTGTCTAGTAATCTAAGTAATGGTGTCTAGTAATCTGAGCGTGGTGTCTAAGTGCTAGACAGATTGCTCAATCTTGGTAAGGTGTCTAGTATATGAAACGACCCTGTCACGATGTTAAAGCAAGTTTTTCAGGCGTGGTGTCTAGTAATCTAGGGAGCGTGGTGTCTACAGGAAGCATCGGTGACACAAAAGTCATTTAAGAAAGTTGTTGTGGTGGTGTCTAGGAACAGTAGAACGTTTTAGGTGAGTTCTGGAAACTGAATATTTACCGATGTTGTTAAAAATATTGATTTTTAATCAATATTTTCAATTGATATTAGCGTAGCCCAGTTAAGAAACTGTAGTTACCCGGTTAGGTTATGAGAGTTTCATTTTGCCTAGTTAAAAATATTGGTTAACCGGTTAGGTCGATCGATATTTTTATTTGGTTGCTTGTGCCAACAGATGTAGAAGTGTACCCAATATTAGCATAACTTAGCCCACTTAAGAAACTGTAGGCCTACCCGTCAGACTAAGTTTTACCGTTATGCTACACCTCGATAAACATAAATAGTACAGGACTAAATGATATATACTAAGATAGTAATTAGATATATAGACTCTATCGGTTAAATAGAAAGAATGTTTTAACCCTTTGCGGTAACTGTAATTATGTCTCCCTAGTGTCCTTTGAGGTATCTTAGGCCACTCTTAGTGCCCAGAATTCCACAGTCAAGTATTGGCGGTTAACCAATGGCGCGGGCCCCCAGATGTCCCTCAGATACGTTAGACCATTCAGTGTGCCCACTAGCGAGTAGCGATATGCTCGAACGGTCTCTAGGTCACTCATAGTGCCCAAGGAAGTTAGTTCATACGGTTTTACAAATATGTCATTCAAGCTAACTTAGTATCTAGCCGTCTGTTTAAAATAATGCAATTTTTTCCCTACCCCTTGAAATTTGTCTTATAGAGGTTTGACTGTATAGGTATAGGTATTCTAGTTGTAGTGAAGTGAAGTGACGTCATTAACCTTATTGCTGATGACAGAATCAAGATTTAGTTAATAAAGCCGTCACTTTCAGTTGCTTGGAGTTTAAAACAATCAGCTGTAGGACAGTTCATTCAACTTGTAAATGTCATCATCCGTGCTTCCTTGTTTATTCAAACGTTCTATATTTGAACAACGATATCTTCTTTACTATTCATTTGCGGTGAAAACTAATGTTATTATTAGATTCAGGAGGTAAAAAACTATATTAAATCCATGTAAAAGTTAGTGTAAATCCTAACTTCTAGGCCCTACCAATATTTGATTTCACAAACCAATATCAAATTGATGTTTCAGGCATTAAGACATGAAGAATTTCAAGAAGGATGTGATGCTGCTTGTAATGGGTTAGTACAAATTGTTTAAGCATATATAAATATGCCTGTCCAATCCTTTTATTAAATTTCTTCTTTTTGATGAGGATAATATAAATGCTAGGTTCTAGGCGACCGGTACAAAAAACACTGCAAACAGTCAGATATATCCGACCCTCTATTGGTTAAATTTTTATTTTTACTTGGGTTCTGTGTGTACCCCAAAGTTTTAGGTCAAGCCAAGCTAACAGTTTGGCCTAGAGTAAATAACTTTTGGGTCAAGCTTGGGTTGGGTTATTTATGTTATAGGTGTGTGACTGGCTTGAATTTTGAGCCTGGTGATGTTTGCAATCTTATTAAACCTATGCAGAGATTGTGCGATTAAAAATTCACGATTTAATTGCCATTACGGGAGATGTTCACTAGGATATTTATAGGCATGCACTGTGGATGCGATACTCCCTGGTGTGGATTAACGTCCGCACGGGTGAGTACTACGACTATCTGCAGTACTATCCTGATAATTAGACCGATTCGTAATTACCAAGGCTCGGATAGATGTGGTTCGGATTCCACTATAAACTGTAGGTCCCTTAGTTGCCATTAGCTGTATGGGCTATTAATTAACAGCTGTGTCTAAGGAATGTCGGCCTTAGTCACTAACAAGACTACAAGATCGCACCACTCATCCTACACTCATCTCCATTCATACTTGGCTTAAAATACCTACTTTGTATGGTCGCCATTTCCTAACAGTATTAACAGACTTGACCACTAGATTTTTGCAATATCTCAATTGTGGTATGATAATTATTTGTATCTAGAAAAATATATTTTGTATACATTTTTCAATAATCAATATTTTTCAATAAGCTATTCATTATATTTTTCGAAGCAACCCAATTTTTAGGCATACTTGTCCTGATTTTGGTCTGAGGACTAAGACACCTCGCCATTTTAGGTAGAAGAAGTGAAACTGTAGAGAACAGTTAATAAAATTCACAAGGTTTTCCTTTATGCTGTAGTTTTCCAGAACTCATCTTTTGCATTAAGTAAAACTAAACCTATACCTAAGTGCTCTTTTATGGATTCGATTACCTGAACTACCTACCATAACCTTAAACCTTAATGATTGGTGAATGAGTGGCTCAGTCGTTAGTGCAATCAACTGTAGAATTATTGCAGCGGTGTCATGAGTTGTAGCATTAATGGTTGAGGTCCTGGTTCTCGTCACTACATTTTATCAGTACAGTTGACTTTTGCTTTGCTGGATGCGTTCCAAGCACGGGCCCAAGATCCCTGTGGACGGGTGCACATAAATGCAAGGTTATAAGGGGCTAACAATCACTTGTCTTACAAAATTATACGCCAATCAATGCAATTCAATTAGTTTATTAACCAGTATCAACCAGTTAACATTATAGACTTGAATTAGTAGCCTACAAGCATTTTACAATTGACAAGATGACATGTATTTTCAATCAAAATCCAACTAATCCATATACAAAGTGTTCATTTTTTATCAGAACAGTTTTATTTGAGTAAAAAAACCTTTTTGATAAAATGTTTAATACAAAACACCCTTTTGGCCAGCACAAAGTTAAGTCCAGTCACAGCAATCATAATGAGTAAAGGTTTCTCTGTTGCTGATGCTTGCAAGAAATGTTTGGGCAATTATTCCGTATGTTTACACTGGGAAAAGATGTCATTTATTTTTATGTCTTCCTACAGTTTTTCACACTGAATCCACAAATGAGATAAGTTTTTGTCGGAGAAATTCTTTAAGTGGCTGTAAAATTAAGGTTAAAATTACAAATCTAATGTTTATTGAACAGTACTGATAGTAATATGGCGTGGTCTGGACACCCGTATGTAGGCTCAGGACTGAGTGAAGAGAGCAAACAGCTGTTTATACTCGACTTAATGCAGATTGAAATCAATTCATTTTGAAACTAAATATTCAGCCCTTATTTAGGCATGTGGGGAAGGTAAGTCAGGTTTTATGTGGATTTGTGACTGTAAGTGTATTAAATTTATATTACACTAGCTGTTGTACCCGTGCTTTGCAACGGGAAGAGAACACAAAATTGAAACATTTTTATCTTTACATATGGTAATGAAATAGTTACGCATAAGCCTTTAAAAACAAAATTTAACCTTTATGGCCTTTATAGGATAGATTTTGTCATAAATGTAAAAAATAATAGTACTGCACCCTAAGCCTTGTAACTTTTTAATGCTATTCAATATCATAGAACCAACTTGTGTAGTTGAAACAGCTGACAAAATTCTTTTATTCCTTTTAAATATTATTATACATAAGGTTAACATGGGAAACTCCAGAGCCACTGGGGCGGAGCCCGAAAGGACTTTTGAGATAAGAATGCATACATATATGTTAATTGGGAATGTGAGCTATCATCATACCAAATTTCAGCCCAATCTGACGAGTATTTTTTGCGTTTACTTGTCACAAACATACATCCATACATCCAAACTTTCTCATTTATAATATTAATAGGATTAGGAAGTAGTGGGGTCGTATAGCTTCATATGATGGCAGAATATTTCAGTTCTGGCAGAGAGGCTGCAATTTTAGGTGGTTATAGTATACAAGTTTCTGAACCTAAAACCGCCCAGACCCCAATTTTTAAGGACCTCGGTCGTCCGTAATGACGTCATCAAAATGGCGGCCGTAAGAGGATGCTGGGTCCCCATGAATTGGCTATAATGACCGAATGCCTGAACCGATTTTCATGAAATTTGGCACACAAGTGCTTGAATACATTATCTCGGCCTGGGTTGAAAATGGTCAAGTTTCATCAAGTCATTTCAAAATGGCGGCTGTTCAAAACTAAAAAAAATATGAGGAAAATAATTGTGAATTGTTTTATACAGGGTGAGTTTCAAAAGAGTTCCCCCCTACTTTTTTATACATTTCGTAAGATATCAACTCCGAACCAGGTCAGATAATTGTAGAGTAGCGAGTACTTCATTTTGACTGGGTTTTATTTTATCCGTTTTTTGTTATCAAGCTTTCTTGATAAAATATAACAATTATTTTGATTTAAAATGTCAATATTTCAAAAACCAAATATGACAATGAAAAACGGATTGCGGCATTGAATTCAACATAAAAAAGTAGTTCACAATGATGGGTCACAACACCACCTTCATATTTAAAATAATTTATCACACTTCAAAATGGCGGATCCAAGATGGCGGCTGAAAAAAATACATCCGTCATAACTGAGTGAAAATAGGTCAACAATGAATGGTGGTGTCCACTTATCTTTATCTAGCACTATTTTGAGATTATGACCTTAGTTTGTAAATGCACAATGTTATAATGGACTAAAAATAAAGTTATAAAAGTTCTCATAACTTTAGAATGGATCAACATTTTTTTAAACGGATTGCAGCATCGTATTCAGCGTAAAAGTCTTGTTTGAAACGGTGGGTCACAACCCTGCCTTTACATTGCGGATCCAAGATGGCGGCCAAAAATTTAAACCCAGTCAAAATGAAGTACTTGCTACACTAGAATGATCTGACATGGTTTAAAGTTGATATCTTAAGAAATGTATAAAAAAGTAGGGGGGGAACTCATTTAAAACTCACCCTGTATAAAACAATTCACAATTATTTTCCTCATATTTTTTTTAGTTTTGAACAGCCACCATTTTGAAATGACTTGATGAAACTTGACCATTTTCAACCCAGGCCGAGATAATGTATTCAAGCACTTGTGTGCCAAATTTCATGAAAATTGGTTCAGGCATTCGGTCGTTATAGCCAATTCATGGGGACCCAGCATCCTCTTACGGCCGCCATTTTGATGACGTCATTACGGACGACCGAGGTCCTTAAAAATTGGGGTCTGGGCGGTTTTAGGTTCAGAAACTTGTATACTATAACCACCTAAAATTGCAGCCTCTCTGCCAGAACTGAAATATTTTCCTGCTACCCAACCTGACTAAAGGTAAAGTTTAGGTTATAACAAACTGACTCATCAATTTATGCTACCTCCAGACTGCTTCAGCACAATCGAAATAGTGGGTGAAACATAATGAAATAACAATATCAAAAATTCTTGATGTTGGAGTTTTGCAATGAATGTTGGTAAGGTTAATACATTTTAGCGAACTTCCCTATTTGGAATTAGCGAATTTCCCTATAGGAAAGTAGCTATTACTGTAGGTCTCATGGTAAGACTTGAGCCCGGAACCGATTTACTTTTTCATTTTGATGTGATCAGAGGCCAAAAACACTATTCGTTCAAATAACTTGAGTAATTTTGTTTGATTTTGATTAAATTTGGTTTGAAGGTGTAAGGTGGGATAAACTTGAATGAGTTAGTGAACCAGCAAGATCGGCCGATGGGAAATAGGTTTTGCAGGGGGTTTTATGGGGTAAAAATAGGTTTTTCTCATTTATGACCATCAAAAGACAAAATTTACCAATTTCTTTCTAGACCATTAGAGCTTTAAATGACAAATAATTAAGTTTTCTGAAGTGTTTTGTGCAATTATCAGTTACGGAGAAAATTCCAAAAAATTAAATTAAAAATTCCCATGTTATTCTTATAGAGAATATTGTAAAATGTTGTAGTTTGCTTGATTATGGATATATAGATCAAAGTTGGCAAATTTATTTATTTTACACTAAGCCATTATTATTTTACTGGAAACACACTTTATTGGCCCCCCTGTAGCAGCAAACCTAGGTACCGTACTCGTTTAACCAAATGTTATTTAAATAGATTTAATCTTACTAATATTATAAATCTGAAAGTTTGTGAGTTTGTGCGTGTGTTTGTGCGTGTGTTTGTGTGTGTGTTTGTGTGTATGTTTGTTGCTCAATCACGCATAAACTACTGGACGGATTGGGCTGAAATTTGGCATGATGATAGCTCACATTCCCGATTAACATTAAAGCATATTCTTATCTCAAAAATCCTTTCGGGCTCCGCCCCAGTGGCTCTGTAGTTCCCCATGTTAACCTTATGATTTTTCATATTTAAAGGAATTAATGAATCTTAACAGCTGTTTCAATTAAACAAGTTGGTTCTGTTCTATAATGCCCAATAGCATCAAAGTTACAAGGATTACCAATAGAGTGCAGCACTATTATTTTTTTTTATTTATGACAACAGCTAATTTCCAACCAAAAGGTGAGTGAGCGTAGCGAACGAACTTCAACTTGGAAGCGAGTTAGCGTAGCAAACGAGCTAACCTGAAGGCAAGTGAGCGCAGCGAACGAGCTCTAACCTAAAGGTGAGTGAGCGTAGCGAACGAACTTCAACCAGGACGTGAATGAGCCATGCGAATACTTATGAAGTTAAACGGGGCAAAGCCCGCGGGTACAGCTAGTTGTATATAAATTCAGTCAAATGGAAATTCGCTTAGTCTGCAGGTTTGCTGCAGCGGGGTATTTATATTGTAATTTTGCTTGTTTTTTTGGTTGGAAATGATTATTTAAGTTTCATAAATATTTTTTTTTGTAATCTCAGTTAAGATTGTAATATTTTTTGTACTATTTCCCATGGTGCCTAAAGTTACTTATGGTCATTTGTCCTGTGAACTTATCTTGCAACTTAATACATTCCTATTGTTTGCTTTGCAATCACTGTGCATATTATTTTCCTATATTTAAGTTTTCTTTACTAGGTACTTAAGTAGGAAGTTTCCATAAAGTATTTATATTTTTAGGCCTTACGACAATCGATGGAGTAAGACAATGGTAGGATACGGCCCAGAAGATACCCATTTTGTGGTAGAGCTCACATACAATTATAATGTTCACAAGTATGAACAGGGTAATGACTTTCAAGGAATCACAATCAGATCTCGTGAAGCTATTGAGCGAGCTAAAGCTGCTGGTTGGCCAATTAAGGAGGAAAACGGAGTTCACGTTGTCGAAGCACCTGGTGGATACAAATATTTTCTGTTAAATGAACCTCAGCCTACAGATAAAGGTAAATTCAACTATGCTTCTTCTGTTGATAAAAATTGTGGTTTGTTAATTGATATGTAGAGGTCGTACGGAACGAGGTGAAGCTTGGAGGGGAATAGTGGTGTGGCGGGGGAAGTTTCGCTATGCGAGGCGACGATCGGCTCGTCTCCTACCCCCACCATGGATTTCCCCGCTTTAGAACGTTCCCACCGAAAATCTCAGGCTTCACCTCGTTCCGCACGACCTCTAACTGGATAAATTCAAGTGGAAATCAATACCTATTTAAAAGTCAAACCTGCACAAAACAGTGCAATCACTACTATTTCCTCTATGTATTTTTATACCTATTGCATTTTTTAAACTTTTTAAGGTAACGGTCCTAACCCTAGTATTATTTCTATGTAACATTGACCTTTTGTTAGATATAAAATTACTATCAAATGATAGACTAATGAAAAATGGAATTTGATCTCGGTCCAGAATCCTACCTGGGATTGGGATTGAACTAGAAAAAACCTAAGATTTGAAGGCAAGCAGAATTGCCACTCCTATGCCCAGATAATTATCCCAATATCGCTTTAATAATACAGTAGACTCCCTCTTATCCAGACTCCTCGGGACTGAGGCCAGTCCAGATAACGGTTTTTCCAGTTAAACCAGGGGTGCCCAGAGGGGGGTACTGTGGCGCGTTTGCGCCACAGGAATTTTTGGGGGGGACTATTTTTAAGGGATTTTGGGGGGGATATTTAATTTTTGCTAGCTGTCATAATGGCTGTATAATTTTGTACAAGCAGTCCGAAAAAGTGTTTCTCACTAAAAGTAGCTCACTATCAACACCAACATTTTGCCGTTCGTAATTAAGATTGCTTCTAACCAATCTAAAATGAAATCTAAGCTACAAAAATATGTAAAAACTTATCAGATTTGTATAGCAGGAGATTTTAATATAGATATTTTAGAAACCTGCAGCTCACCCAGCCATAAAACTAGGTTTTTAAATTTAATCAGCATGTACGGTTTTACAATTAATTTTCGTTCTCCAACTAGAATAACTATAAATACAAGCTCATGCATTGACAATATTTTAACTAATGACAACTTTGTTTTTAACCAGAATATAAGATCTAAAATGAACCTTGAACTAGGTGTTTCGGATCACAGGGCACTTTTTATTGAAATTTCAAGAAATACTGCACTTTGCAAAAAAATACAGTACAAAAAAAGATTATTTTCAAAACAAAATAAAGCGCTTTTTTATCAACACATATCAGGAGTTAATTGGAATACATTGCCTCAACAAGATGCTCAAACTAATTTTAACCATTTTTTCAATCAGTTGTTAGTAAATTTTGATAAATGTTTCCCTCTTAAATTTTACACTAACAAACCACCCAAAAATAAATATAGGAAAAGCTGGGTGACTAAAGGTATTAAAATATCAAGTCAGAGAAAAAGAGAGCTAAGCACTATTGCCAAAACGGTTCAAGATGTTAATTTTAAAAAGTATTACAAAAACTATAGAAAAATATTTAAAGCTGTTTGCGATAAGGCTAGGAAAATGTTTAATTGTAAAGTTATATCATCTTCAGATAATAAGAGCAAAGCGGTGTGGAATGTTGTGAAGTCTGAACTTGGAGTCCTGAATTCCAATCATTTGGATTTCCCTGATTTGTGTGTCGGAGACAAGCAATTAAAAGATGGACAAAATGTGGTAAATTTTCTCAATGATAAATTTTGTAACATTTACAAAAATATAAATTGTATGCCTTGCTTACACACTGCAACTAATTTGATTAATAATACTAGTAGGCCTAATAATATAAGAATGAAATTTCAGTTCAGACATGTATCGATTTTAGAAATTAAAAAAACCGTTAGAAATTTAAAAAATAAAAAATCTTCTGGATGGGATGAAATTCCTATTGAATTAATTAAAAATGTCATAAACCATATTGCAGAGCCTCTGTGTCTAGTAATCAATCAATGTTTTGATGAAGGAATTTTTCCTTATCAATTAAAAATGCTGGGCTGAAACCACTTTTCAAAAAAGGCTCAGTAATGGACCCTGATAACTATCGTCCTATTTCAATACTCCCATCTTTGTCTAAAATCTTTGAAAAAATTGCTTACAACCAAATCTATTCATATTTCGAAAATAATGATTTATTTACCAATAAACAATATGGTTTTAGATCTGGGAAAAACACTATATCTGCTGTCTCAGATTTCATAAATCAGGTTTCTGATGGCTTGGATGGGTCTCAGAGCACAGCTGCGGTGTTCTGTGATCTATCCAAGGCATTTGACTGTGTAAATTACAATATATTAATGAGTAAACTTAAATATTATGAATTTTCTGATATGGCTCTGTCTTGGATGCATTCATATTTGACTAACAGACATCAAAGAACAATAATCGTAAAAAATGGTAAAAAATGTATTTCACAGTGGCTTAACACTAAATGTGGGGTTCCGCAAGGGTCAATACTAGGCCCCTTGCTATTTTTAATATTTATAAATGACTTACCTCGAAATGTATCGTCTAACCTTATCTTATATGCTGATGACACTACAGCAATAGTTAAATCAAATAATTTGCAAAATCTTAAACAAGAAATCAGTCTTTCTATTCTTAATTTATCTAATTGGTTTACAGCCAACGGGCTAAAACTTAATAATTCTAAAACGCAGGTGATGTTATTTCAAACAATTCAGAATAGGCAAAACTCCACTGTTGAATTATCTTATGATAATAATATTATATCCTTTACTGAAAATGCAAAATTTTTGGGTTTAGATATCGATAAGAATTTAACATGGAAAACACACATAAAAATGGTAGTTGGTAAATTAAATACGGCTTGCTTTCAAATGTATGTTTTGAGAAATGTAATAGATTTAAAAACTAAACTCACAGTGTACTATGCAATGTTCTTTTCTGTCTTGCAATACGGGATTGAATTATGGGGAGCAACTTCTTATTCTAAAGCAGTTTTCAAAATTCAGAAGAAATTTATAAGGATTTTATCATTTATGCCTAAAAGAACCTCATGCAGAGCTTTATTTGCTAAATATGAGATATTAACTTTGCCTTCACTTTATATATTTAAAATGATGGTGAATTTTAAAATTAATTATCAAATGTACAATGATAAACAAATCAGTCATCCATATCTTACACGCTCAAAAAATTTTCAATATCCAAGACATCGCCTTTGTTTATATGAAAGATCTCCTTATTATATGGGATTAAGGCTTTACAACAGTCTACCCACTAATTTCAAAGAAATTAACAGTATTTCAAAATTTAAAAATGATTTCAAACGATACCTTTTACAGAAAAATTATTATAATATTTCCGATTATTTAAATGATAAGTAAATATATTTTAGTTTAAGCTATGTGGATTTTAGTTTTGTTATGTAACTTAGTGTTTAAGATCTCTGACAATATCACCTGTTTCACCAGCTAACGCTGGATCTGTGAAATGTTTTGTGATAATAAAGTAATATTTCATTTCATTTCATTTCATTTCATTTCTAAGAATGGTAAAGCACCTTGTCAGACAACCCTTAACATACCAGTGTAGAATTTTACATGCTACATATGTTTTGTTGGTTCTTTAACTCCACCATAGTCAGGATTTACAAAAGATCCCCTTCTGGAGGTGTCGTCAGTATACGTTACAAACATTTAACACAAAACACGAAACGATTACAGATAGGCTTATCTATTCACGCACGTACATTGCCGTCGGCAAGACTGGAAGTAAACTGAATCGGGTTCAGGTTATGACGGACCGACGTGGTCTCTGAATTGTCGTCTGCGTTTTCAACAGCTGATATTGGACTATTGTTATAGTGACTGAGAAGAGTATTGAAAATATAATGGCTTTCATAATTAATTGAGTGTTTTCACTCAAAAATGTTGTGCTGTCCCCAATTTTATGTATTCATATATTTCAAACTCCTCAAAGTATTTAAAAATTTCCTTTCGTGCAGTACTATAGAATTTCGAGACCATCATTTATATCCAGCATATAAATTGGTTATTATTGTCAATAGTTTTGAATGGAAAACTCAATTATGAATCCCGTTGTATTTTCAACATACTCCGTCACTACAATTAGTCCAATATCAGCTTTTGATAACGCAGACGACAATCCAGAGACCACGTCTTTCCGTCATAACCTGATTCAGTTTACTTCCAGTCCTTCCCGCGGCAATATACACGCGTGGATTGATAGGCCTATCTGTTATCGTTTCGTGTTTTGTGTACAAACGGATTGTCTGACAAAATACGTTCCTACCATTTTAGTCATAAAAGGCAATCCTGGGGCTATCAAAATGAATTATAAGATTACTTCGTCACAAAAACCTTTTGTTCTGGTAACATGGTATTTTGCCCGGCGATTTTTGTAGAAGGCAGCCTGGAAGTGGCTAGCAACAAGTCTGACTTATTTCGTGACTCTGCCTATAATTTTGAAACAATTAAGATACTTTTTGCCAAAGTATTATTAATACACTTAAAGCTGTTTGAATTCTTAATACCCTCTAAACATTAAATCCACCTAATATATTGTACAGTTACAGTACTGTGTTGGAGTAGAGTAATTCACCGAGTATAGGCCTATTGTTGAACGTGTTGAAGACGTTGTCTATAGCAATACTGAGCACATGTTGGCTGACAATACTAATTCGGAATTTTGTAAATTGAAAAACTTCTAATTCAACCATTACTTAGATATGTATTGTTAAATGACGTTTCATATTAAACATTTAATTTTGATTCTCAATCAGCAAGTTTGTTTTTTGTACCTCAAGTTTACTAAATACTTTAAATACTCGTTTAATGAGGTAAAGGGAAATTGTCAGATAAATTGGTGGGGGGAGGGTAGGTTTAAATAGACGACAACATAAATTGGGGGGACTACTCCTTTGGCTTAGGGGGGGGGGGGATCGCGCCTCTGGGTTTAGGGGGGATGGGCACCTCTGAGTTAAACCTACGTTCCCAAAAACTCGT